GTAATAACAACAACAACAACAACAACAACATTAATAATAATAATAATAATAATAATAATGTACAGATAATTTCATACCAAAGTCTTTGAAGCTCATTTTAGTTTCAGCTGCACTGATCTGTACCTGTCTAATGGCCGCTATCAGTGTAGCTAGGAACAAGAGAAAAGAGAAACATTATAACAACATAAGAACATTATACTTATGCTAGTGAAGTAGAGAGAGAGGGAGAGAGAGTAGAGAGAGAGAGAGAGAGAGAGGGAGGTGGGAGAAGTCATACCTCCTTCAACAAGCAATGAACCAGCAAGTACCACAAAGGCCTAAACAAACAAACAAACAAACAAACAAACAAATAAATAAATAAATAAATAAATAAATAAATGGGCATACAGCTGGTAGATGAGACAGAATGGGCGGGTACATGATGCTGTTGATCCCGTGATAGACAGTGACACCACATCCAAGGAAGAATATACCAATGCCACTGATCAGTGAGTAGACGTACCTCGCACGAGAGAATCCATACCTGTACCAGAATGAAAATATGAAGTATGGGAATGGAAATACGAGTTTCTTACGGGTGGGATAGGTCTGGCTTTCTGATGGACTGAGTGATACCAAAAGCTAATAAACACTATAAATAAATAAATAAATAAATAAATAAATAAATAAACAAACAAATAAATAAAGAAATGGTTACTTGATTAAGGACATCAACCAGTGAGTGGATTGCTTCAGAGAGCATTGATGCTGATCCAGTGTATAGATATGACAATAGTTTAATAATCATTACCACAGTATTACTGAAAGACAAATAATAATAATAATAATATTATTATTATTAATTATATGTCCTTGCTATAGCATAAAATACAACTCTTGCTGATCCTTGAAGTAGCTCCACCCTCTTCTGTGGATCACCATACACCTATTAATAAAATAAATAAATAAATAAATAAATATTTAATTGTCCAACTTCAGTCTCCACGTGTTTTCTTGTCGATTCTTTCTTGACTTTCTTTAGTAGCGTAATTAATGCATTTAATCCTAATTAAACCATCAATCAATTAATTAATAAACTATTAATTGCCTTCTCTTCTCCTGTCCTCCTCTTTAGCTTGTCTTCGTCTAATGTCAAGAGCCTTCTCAAGAAGACCCCAACTACCCCAGACCTCAAGTGCCCTAATAAGGAGAGAGGGGAGGAGAGAAATATCAAGGTCAAAGTCTTAGTCATTTAAAAATCAAATTTCATGTTACCTTTTTTCAACGTCAGATTTTAAGTAGCAGTTGACCAGCTGGGGCCCACTCTCGTCGGCATTTCTAAAGGTCCTTTGAGACAAACCTTCTAAATCCCTGAGGAGGAGAAACAGGTGGAAATACAATAACTGAACTACTAACTGTACTAATGGATCATCATCTTATTGTACACTATAGCAACTGTAGACTACAGCAGAGTATTAGTAAGGTATAATCATTCATGAGTGTTGATACACATACACTGTAGTAGAGGTTAGTCTATAGTGTCACTACATTAAGATCTACTGTATCTAGACTCATGTACATTGACTTGGTTGTATTCATCTTTTAATTTAATTTTAATTTGATATTATGATATTAATGACTCACTCTATCTCCAGTAGGTAGTCTGTCATTGCTCTTTGTCCAGTAATGAACGTATTCCTCCAGTAAAATCCATTATATGTATCTTTATTATTATTATTGTCTTTATTATTATTATTGTCTTTATTATTATTATTATTGTCTTTATTATTATTATTATTATTTCCTGTAGAGCCTAGAAGACGATACATTAATAAATAATTAAAAATCGAACGTCCCAGTATGCCTCCACCAAAACAAGTTCTGGTAATCGTAAAATTAAAAATATTAAATTTACCTCCTGTGCTAGCAAGCCTTGTTAAATAATTATTATTCTGAGGTCTAGTAAGAAATAATGACATTTATATTATTATTTAAAAGTTATGAATTACTTTTTGCTCCTGATTAAAGCTGATATTAATCTCTTATTTACAAAGTAAGTATTTGGCAGCTTCCCGCTTCTTATAAAACCTAAGAATAGACACAATACTTCACTAGTCATCCTCTATCACTCACTGTAGCATCTACAGCACAAGGAGGCCATCTTTAGCCCTAGGCCACGCCCTCTTTAATTGGATCTAGCATCCTGATAGTATACGGATTAATTTGAGAGTATACTAAATTCCGGATTCTATAACACGCCTACCATTAGGGGTGTGGTTATAGCTCCACTGCCCCGCCTACTCTGTTTTTTTTAATTTTAAATTAAATTATTAATTTTTTTAAATTTTAAATTGAAATTAAATTTTAAAATTAATTTAAACCATTGGCTCAAAGGCTCATTGTATACTGTTATCCACCCCATTACATGTAATAATGGAGAACATGCAATCAATACTTACCAGGGTCCAGTCCAGAACAGTCAGACCTACTAGAGGGGGTGGTGGAGGGAAAGAGCAGAATATGTGGATTATATTGTACATGCATAAAATACATTATAAACATGCGTAATTATACATTATTAACTCTCACTCTACCTCACACTCAACCAACTTTAAACTTGACCCCTACATAAAAATAAAAAAGAAAAATGTTTAAACAATAGAATAAGT